CTGGGGAATTCTGGGAGTTGAAGTCCACACATCTTAAACTTCCCAAGGTTGAGAAACACTGATCTAGTGAATGTGCATAAACCACACTCTGATCTAATAACTTTACAAATACCTGGCTTTGGAATCCCTGCAAAGACTTCCATATTCACTTCCTAGAAAATATGACATTTCCTTGGCTTTCGACTGTGGCTTATTATGGCATCACAAACGGCTTATTATTGCATCACAAACACAGACTATACCGTACAGTTACTCTGCTTGGTTCCAAGATTGGGGGTGCTTCCAAATGAGGCTTTTATTGTGGAATTTGCTCTGTTGGATTCGCAGAATATTAGGCAGAGTCCACACCTTGTCAGCTTTGAGCTGTAGACCTCCCTTTTTCTCCCACCCCTTGTCTTCTTTCTTTCCACAAACAGAATCAGTTAAAAAGACTGAATGGCTGCATAACGTCTTTTAATTTAACAGTATTAGGACCCCTCTATCTGGAAGTACTGCAGATTTATTTTTCCTTTTTTAGCTAGTACTGCAGGTGGTTAAGTTCTCTTGGAGACAGTGGAGAGAAAGGAGTTCTAGGAATGAGATCTCCTGCAGTGGCATAAATTTCCACTGCCATCATCCTCTATCCCTGCTTTTTGTGCCTTGCAGGTTAGAAACGTCAAGCCACTACGTTAACTTCAGTTCTCAACAGCAAGAAAACAAGACTGTGACACACTCATATAAAGTGAGTCAGTGCTTGCAAGCTTTCTCCCAGAATAAGAACTCTGTAATGTCTTTCATGGTGCTTGGAATCCAGTGGTTTTGGGAGAAAGTGGCCCAAAGGCGGCGGCTTCTTCTTCTTCTTCTGGTTGGTTGGTTGGTTGGTTGGTTGCCCAGTCAGCCAGATGTTTAGACTGGATTTGGTATTTTTGTCCACCTATCAAGTCCTTCCCAAGGACCTGGGATAGACAGATGTTGTTTGATGGTGTTAAAGGTATCATCACAAGATATAAGCTGTTGCAAGTAAAGCTGCCTTTTGCAATTGACTGATATTATTATTCTGGGATTAATAATAATAATACACAACGTGAAATCATAGCTGCCAGGTGTTTGGTGTTGGCCTTCATTTGCAGGATCCAAGCAGTGTGGCCTTTTGTAATTGACAGATGGAAATCTTGTCAGTGTGCAGATTTTCTAAGTGCTGTCCAAGGCTTTTTGGTATGGTACCCAATACACTGATAACCACTAGGACCACCACTGCTGATTTATGCCATAATCTTTCAACTTTGATTTTTAGATTTTGATACTTTGTGATCTTCTCCAATTCTTTAATTCTTTTATTATTTTCATTTTTATTATTATTTTAAATTTATTTTATT